AAGACAAACTGTGACACAAAACAATTTGGTTGAACAAATAGGTCCTGAGGCCCACTATGTATTGGGCTCTGTGCTAGACACATATCTTACAAAGGGCCTGCCCTTGATGACCTCACATCCCAAAAGGAAAGATACACAAGCAACTGGAATTAATAAAATGTGGCAAAGACAAGATGAAAGAATACACAACTGTAATGGGAAGCAAGAAGCGGGCCCCCAGCTCCTGGAAGGTCAGGGAAGTCTCTGGGAACAGATGATGTGGGTTAAGCTGGGACAATGATTCGAGTTAGTAAGACCCAGCAGAAAAGAGGGGTCATCTCTAACAAGAAGTATTCAAGTTCACAGGAAGGGAAATGAGTCCCATTTGATTCATTATATACTGGACTGCTAGACATCCATTGTGTTTATGTTTCATGCCTGGCACACAGTAAGCACTCAATAAATGCTGAGGATGCAAATCTGCACTTTCTCTTGGGAATTTCAGCACCGGAGAATGGTCAGTTAAGAAATGTTAACAAAGAAAAGACTTTGAAATTTGTTTTTAGGGAGCATTTTGCAATCAGTCCCCTGCGCAGGGACCTACCCTCATTTAACTGGAATGATTAGCTAATGTCCAGGCTGAGTCACTGAGCAATGGGAGGAGGGCTGGTGGGCCCTGGTAGCAGTAGATGAGGGTGCACACCAAACTCTGGAACTTCAAGGGTTAACAAAAACAGATCTGAGAGAGGCTTCTCTCCAGGGCTGATCAAGGATCCCCAATCCATAATCTTCCTATCCCCATCTCCCAAGCCGACTCTCTCAGTCTCCTGGAGCCCCAGGCGGGCCCCCTTCCAGGACTGTGTTTTAAAGGGAAATGCAAATCACCTGGAGGCTGCTTCGTGCTTGGAAGAAGTAAAAATCGATTCTGTTTTCGTTAAAGTGATTTTTGGACACTGTCAAAAGCTCTCTCATCTCTGAGCATAGGGTGACAGATAGGCTGCCGATCTCAATTACATAACTGAGCCAACCAGTGGCAGCAGGCCACCTCATCAGGACAAAAGCAGATCGGCTCCTCTCCCAAGCCCAATTCCTTGTCCCTGAGGCATCCAAGAGCATCTCATCCCATGCAGGCCTGCAGCCCTCATGGATGCTTGCTCACAAGGCTTTCCTTTCCCATACTCCCCCTATCCCTAGTCCCCACTGAGCTACCCCAAGGTCTGCACCAGATCCTTTGTGATGTCAAGCAAAGCCAAGAAAATTTAAGAACTAGAATCTGCTTCAAAAAAAGTTTATATCATATAATACATTCCCAAACCAGTTATGTTGGTCTTATTTAATATTGTTCTATGTTATCCCTTCCTTCCATTAACTGAGATAATTGGGGATTTATTTTATTTATAGCATCAATTATGAGCACCGAAATTAATCCCGGAATGGTGCATTTGGGAACTCAACTGTCCAGGGAGCACAAGGGAAGCCTGGGTACAGCTTAGGGGTCTTCCCCACAAGCATAAGAGGCTGCAAGAATCCCTGTCTTCAAGCCTTGGTGGAAGTTTGAGTGGTCATTGTTAAGGTATTTTGATATATTAAATAAATGGTGATATTTGGCTTCAAGAGATCCTTCCCTAGAGGTCACCTAGTAACTCATGAGTGAGGTACTGGGAAAACAGACAGAGATGGCAACTAGAGTCAGGAGGAGCAAATGCCTTTTCTCACACGGGGCCTCTCAGACTGTCAGCTTCTGCAAAGGAGCTGAAGACTGGGTTTCTCCAGATTGAAGAATGAGAGCATGGATAAGGAGTGAGGCAGGCAGCGTCAGAGATGGAAGAAGGAGAAGTCTGTTAGGAAGCAATTGGACTATGGATGGGTGTTGGTTCTTGGTATTCCATGGACATTTGGGACTCAGATGTTGGTGTAGAGTAAGGAAAAGATCAGCTTGTGGTGGTTAGGACAGAAACAGGCTGGAAAGAGGAGAGGTTTTCCAGAGCGGAGCCAGTGAGGGTCTCCAGAAGGGGTAAGAAGATTCCAGTAAAGAAGGACTAGGGCTGGGACAGAGCAACAGGGTTAGGGTGGTGATGCAGGCCCTATAGGCCCAAACTTTGACTCTCCCCCTCCTCCCCCAAGAGATCACAGGTAGGTCTAGAAGGGACTGAGAAGAGTATCAGGTCAGACAAATGGAGATGGTGCCCTATCTTCACTGACCCATCCATTAAAAAGAATTTTGCCAAGCACCTGCTATGTATAGTCAACTAAGTGAGCCTGGAAATGGTGCCAGCTTTTGACTCCAGTCAAAGCAGCCTTAACCAGCCCTGAGCTATAGCAGCCAGGATGGAGCCTTCTTTCTCATAATTTATCTGAGTTTAAGGATGATATGACTCAAGGTCCGTTCTTGTCCATTTGGTTCTCCTCCCAGAAGTCAGACATTTTTCATCATGCATGGGAAAGAAGAAACCAATTCCATCATCAGGTGTGGGCTGAGAAGTCCACAGGGCCTAAAGTCAGAGGAACCACATTCTCCCCAACACAAGCATCCTCCTCTTCCTCTTTGCCTTCACACCTTGGCAGTCTTCCTGTTTCCTCACCCCCTTGCCAAAAGGAGATGTGAGGCCAAACCTATTCTCCCCCTCCCCGATATTTCATTTATTCCTTGATCTACAGGATGCATGCCAAAGGAGATCAGTCTCCTTTGAAGCAGTAAAATTCTGGATGTTTCTACTGAAGCAACCATTAATTTCTAAGGCAGCCCAATAAACCGCCTAGAAGAAAGCTTGATTTACAGAGTCTCTGTGTGCCTAGTGCAGTGCCTGGCATACAGAAGTCACTGGGTAGTTATATTCTAGATGAGTACTATGACTAGAATAGAATGTAACACTCTGAGGACATCTAAAAAAGTAATAACGCTGAAGTTCTGATTTCTACCTAGACGCCCTGATGGAGTAGGGAGCAATGGAATGAAAGGAGGAAAGGCCCTGAGAGCAGCCAGTGTGGTGTTTCAAACTCAGCTCTCTGTCAATGGGAAACTTACTTAACCTCTCTAGCCTCACCTTCCGTATCTATCTAAGGCTATAAAACTTTTCCTACCTACTAGGTTGCTGTGAAGACCTAGAGCTAATATATGCAAAGTACTTAGACACTGCTGACACATAGTAGACACCCATATGCTGTTATACTAATAATAAAAAGTAATAGGCAGCGGGCCAATGAAGTTTCCATTGATCTCCGCTGGAACAATCTCGTTTTAACTCTGACACCCATCAATCTGCCCTGTGTTTATTCCCATCCATGTCTCTCCCTCTGCTATCCTGAATGCCCTAAGAGGCACCTGGATAGTCACCCACCTCAGAAGTGTGCTGGGTACTGGGATGGGGTTTCTGGTCATGAATGAAGTCCCCTTCATAAGGGGGAAAGGATGGTCAGGGTCAAAGGGACAAAGGTCCAGTCAATTCCTTAACCTATTTTATTTCTAAATATCCCACTATGGATAAAGCTCACACCTATCAGTTGAGAACAAAGTCAAATAGCTATTCTTATCTTCTCTGGGAGAGCAGCTATTTGAAGAAGTATACGTGTGCGCACAGATGTTTGTGTGCATGTATGTGTGTGTGTGTGTGTTTGTGTGTGTGCATGTGTGTAGGAGGAAAAGGAAAGATAGCTTCCATCACCCAGTCAGAGATAAAAGAAATGCTCAAATCGATCAAATGTGGTCTTCTCAAATGGACAGTGACACCCTTCCTGCTCTTTCTCTTGCTGTTCCCTTTCCCTCCCATGGTAGAATGACAAATGTAATCAGCTTAAAAGGCCCCCCTCACCTGCTCAGTCATTTCCAATAAGCACACACACAGAGCTATGGAAAAACGGACACCACCATCACCACAGGGTTTCAGCCAGGAAAAATCAAATCACCAGGATACCACCACCTGAATTGTCAAAGACCAAATAAAAAGCTTCATGAATTCTCCATCAGCAATATAATGCTTCCTGGCCTAAGCAAATATAGAGTCGGCATATGAATTGTGGAGGGATTTTGCATTAGCCTCAGTGGCTTCCAACGGCTAAAGCAGAAACCCCTATGAAATCTATGTCTCTATAAACTTGCTTTTTTTATTGGCTCTAATCCTGTTAGGGTGAAGACCACAATCTCCTTTCTGAGCCCCTTCCCCTGATGGAAAGCTGCACAGCCCATCACCATGAATACATTTTGTGACCTCAATGAAGAAGATAACTCAGAGAGCTGGAGAAGGCAGAGTCCCAGAGACCTCCTCAGCACCTGTCCCTCTCCAGATGATATTGCTGCTTCTGTTTGACCACACAATCCATTCATTCAGACCATCTCATAGACATGCAGGTGGGTCGGGTCATTCCATCACCAACTCAATCTGAGAAATCAAAACTGCTGCTTTTTTTTTTAACTGAGGGGGAAAAAAGAAGAAAAGAGATGCCTCAATTTGAAGAAAATCTGAGTTCAGCCAGTGTCACTTAGAGAAAGTCTAATCAGAACCACTGAACCATGAGCATCTACGGCAGCAGAGGAGAAAAGTTAGGCAAAAGAGGAAACAGCCTACATATATACACATATACTACAGGAAAGTGATCTCGGTGTTTCCTTACACCATTCACCAAGCTTCTCACAGACCTCTTCCTCCACATCCACTGCACCATTATCTCCTTGACAGATGCACAAAAGAATGCAGTCACCATCACACACACACACACACACACACACACACACACACACACACACACACACACACACACACACACACAGTGCATAGCTGGGAAAAGAAATGGTGGTTTCATTTCCTACTCTTTATAAGATATATGCCCATCCTAGAATCAATTCAGAGCAAACTACCCCCTTGCCCCCACCAAACAAATCATGCAGGTGCTTTCGGCTTCTTGCTGTCACTCCCTGGAGGAGGGACTCTTCTTGCCAAAGCTATCCTCATTCATGTCGCCATCCAATGTTGCATGGTTCCTCCACCCACCTCCACCCAGTCCAGTGCGCACTGGTACTCACTTACCCCAGGGTGGTCATGGTGACAATGGTGTACCAAAAAGAAGCTGGGATGCTCGTGAACTTGCTGGCAGAGGAACCCTTCTCGGCATAAAACATCACAGTGGCGAAGATGATGATGGCCATGGTGAGGGAGAAGAGGAGGAAGCCAAGTTCCGAGGCGCAGCTCTTCAAGGTGTAGCCCAGGATGCGCAGGCCCTGGGAGTGGCGCGAGAACTTGAAGATCCTGAAGACGCGGAAGACCCGGAGCGTGACGAAGGCCCCGGACACATCCTCGTTGTTGGCCATGACCAGGCCGATGTAATAGGGCATGATGGCCACCACGTCGATGATGCTCATGACGCTGCGGATGAAGCGGTAGCGGCTGGGCGCCGCGAAGAGCCGGAGCAGGTACTCCACGGTGAAGATCATGACGCAGGCCGTGTCCAGGCAGAAGAACGCCACGGAGTAGCGCTCTCCGCAGGGCAGCTCCTTGCTCCCCGGGACCGTGCCACAGGGCACCGTCTCCACCACGTTGGTGATGACCGAGACGGCGATGAAGAAGCCGGTCACGTAATAGAAGACCAGCGCCAGGGTGCTGGTGTGCGGGTTCTCGAAGGCCCGCCACATGGTCTGGCGGAAGCTGAGCGAGGGCATGGACTCCTGGTTGTTCTCAGAGTCGTTGTCGTCCATGAGGCGCTCGGCGTTCTCCCGCTTGCGGTCTTTGTACTCCTCGTAGCAGCAGTCTCCGATGATCTCGGGGAGGATCCCATAGAAGGCCAGCTCGTCGTCGTAGGCTGAGATGCACTCGTAGCGCGGGTAATGCAGCTTCCCCGTGCGGTAGAAGTTGAGTACGCAGCGGAACACTTCTGGGTCCCGGTCAAAGAAGTATTCTTTGGTGTCCTCGTTGAAGAAGAACTCCTTCTCCGTGCTGCCCAGCAGCGTGTCCGGATAGCGCTCCAGCGTGGTCCTCCACGTCTGGAACCGTCGTCCACTCACGTTGAGCACGATCAGCTCATCCTGCCGCTTGTTCTTATCCGCCGGGGCTAAGGGCATGGGGCAGTTGGCTACGGGCATCCATCCGATGGCTGCAGCCCTGGCAAAGGGCAGCCAGGCTGCAACTCCTGCGGCCATGGTGACTCCAGTTCTTGGGCGCGCGACTGCTCACTTGGGACACCAGCTTGGAGTTTGTTCGGCAGCCCCCTGTTGGATGGGAGAGAGCAGAAAAAGGGCTAAGTTCCGGCTTGGAGTCAGCAGGGACCTCAGGAAAGGGTCACTGATGAGTGACAGAGCAAGTCTCCCAGGGGGAGTAAGAGAGCCCAAACCGCCACACAGCTAAGAGCTGGATACCTCTCCTTCTGCGTAGGGAGATCACTTAGCAGGGGGCTGGAGCAGCAAGGCCGGATCACCAGCTGTTGCTGACGGCCTGACAAATTGTCAGGTTCTTAGCAGGCTCCAGAGCATTTGGAGGGAAAGTCTCTCAAACAGGAAGATGTGGGAAGACGAGGGTGATAATCAGCTCTGAAAGGTTATGGCGTTTATTACGAATTTAAATTGGGAGAGGGTAAATGAGTTCTCATTAAATGAATTTAAAAGTGGGATAAACATGCTAATTTTTATTTCACTCTTCAGCCACCAGGGTAATCAGGGATGGGGGTGTAGATGAGGGAGATTGGGTAAATACATCCATTGGAGTCCTCCCCTAAAGAAGGATTGTGGAGTTGCCCCTTTTCTGGAAAATTCTCTGCAGCTAGAGTGACCATTGACCCCAATTCCCATGGAGAAGGCTTTCTTTGGCAGAATGCTACTCTTTGGGATACTTCACTCCATCCTTGGCCCTAACAACCCAATATCCAATCAGCCCCTCTCAGCCATGATGGAAATACATGGGGAAGGATAGGAGGCTGAGTTGGGTCTCTTACTCACAAGGACTTTTTGAATTCTTGGGTCCACATACATTCCATACATTGTCCCTTCCTCTCCCCAGAGAAACTTGATCCACATTCATTGCCTTCCCTTGATTCTCGCCTCTTTTCTCCATCTGCCCAGCACCCAGAGTTCCCTCTAGTTATATAACAGTATTCCTTCCCATGCCAGCCTCTCTCACCTGGCCCCTCCCGTACCCTTTGAAATCCCTCCCAAGCTGGGTCACCCTGTCCCTTCATCCACAGCTCTGAAAACCACATTTCTCCATCACCTGCCTGGATGGAAAGGACAGTGGTGTGGAGAACTATATTTGGCTTTGGGAAACAGATTTACCTCCCCAAATCTGGCTTTTTCAAGACGATAGTGAAATGACTCTGCAATCCCCAAATGTATACCATCTGTGGGAAGACATGTGGTGACACAGAAACACACGTAACAGAGATGGGAAATTGTTTGGGGTTGGCACACACTCGTCTCCATAATCCTAAACTCATCACGCAGAACAACTCCTAACTCAGAATTATTTGGATCCTGTTGGCATTCACTTGGTTTGACTCTGTGTTTAAATAAATGAGGCAGAGGAGAGTCTTGGAGTTGTTTTCCTTTTTTTTTTCTCTGCCTGTTATACAAAGTCTTGGAACACTGCTTCACCTGTTCCTGTTTCCAGCGCCTCTGGTTTCTCTTGCTTCTCAGCTGCCACTGGACTTGTGTTTTACCCCATAGCCTATAAAATAAAATCCAAATTTCTTGGCCCCAAATCTCAGCATCTCCACAAATAGATCCTGGCTTAACATTCTAGATTGAGAGACCATGGGCCCAGCCTAACCTCCAGCAACAAGAGCATAGACTGGCTCATGAACAGACCCTGCTTGTCTGTCTTTGGGTCATCCCCCTCTGTTGACCCTCTTACTCTGCCTATTGAATCTTGCCTATTCATCCCCTCTGTGATATATCTCCTCTCCCACTGTGAGACTCTCTTCTTCCTTTTTTTTTTTTGGGTCCGGTCATGGGGCCTGAACTCTGGGCCTAGGCGCTGTCCCTCAGCTCTTCAGCTCAAGGCTAGCGCTCTACCATTTGAGCCACAGCGCCACTTCCGGCTTTTTTCTTTTTGCTTATGTGGTGCTGAGGAATCGAACCCAGGGCCTCAGGCATGCAAGGCAAGCACTCTACCACTGAGCCACCTTCCCAGCCCCCTCTCTTCTTCCTTTGGGCTCTCAGCACCTTGTTTATCTCTCTGCTCTAGCAACCGCTACACTCTAGACAAGATTCCAGATGCTTTATACTTGTCTCTGTAACAATCATGGCTGACAATAATTAACTCTATTCACTCAAGATCTCTACAAGCTATCCTACTCGATCCTCATAGCAATTATAGGAAGAATAATTTATTATGTCTCCCATTTCATGGATAAGAAAACCCTAGGCTAAGCTGGGAACCACTGACTCATGTCTCAAATCCTAGCTACTCAGGAGGCTGAGATCTAAGGATCACAGTTTGAAGCCAGCCTGGGCAGAAAAGTCCATGAGACTCGTATCTCCAATAAAGCACTCAGAAAAAGCCCAAAAGGGCACTGTGGCTCAAGTGGTAGAGTACTAGCCTTGAGCACAGAAGGCTCAGGGACAGTGCCCAGGCCCTGAGTCCAAGCCCCAGGACTGGTAAAAAAAAAAAAAAAAGAACGAAAGAAAAAAGAAGAAAAGAATAGAAAAGGAAAAGAAAGAAAACCCTAGGCTTAAGGAGGCATTGCAGCCTATGAATCTCTAAGCTTTGAATTGTACAGCAGGGATTCCACTCCAAGTGGTTTACAGAGTGATATTGGTCATGACATGATATGCTTCCATGACCGTTTCCATCCAACTTGCCTCACCCAAATCCTTGCAAGGTAGATGCCATTATGGGTCCTCATTATGAGGAAGATGAAAGATAAAGAGTTTTAATGATTATAGAAAGAATTAATAAAGTAGACAGGGAGATTTAAACCCAGGCAGTCTTAACGTGGAGTGGAGTACAGCCAGGTTACTCTCCGCCTCTGCCCATTCCTCACTAAGCTCTTTAAGTAAAATGGCCATGGTCCTCAAATTTTTCACCTCAGTCTAGTGGGTAGCATAGTGCAGTGTATGAGTAGGTGTTCAAGCTAGAAACCCTATTTTACTGATGTTATGTGTGTTCCATTGATTCTACTCTATCCTCTGCTAATACATCTCAGGGGATGTCATTGAGCAGTCTCTCTACAAACAGACAGTGAACTCTTAAGACAGAGATGAATCCAAAGCTTCAGTCAAGTGTCTTCAAGGTGCTTTCTGCCTTAGTTTCTCTACCTGCACACTAAAGGGAATTTTTACAAGTTACTCTACTCCCTAGTAAAGGAAGGCTGATTCAGATATACAGATGACACTAGGAATGACAATGGGATTTCCTATCAGTGTCCCCACTCAGAGAATAGAAAAACAGCACGGGCCTGATGAGCTCTTGATTACAGGAACTGAGAGAACTAGAAAAAGAGTGGGGTCGCTCATCCATGACAATGGGTAACCCACACACCACCGACAGGAAGAAGCAGAAGCCTCTCTTGCATATTGTGTCATCCTGCAAGAAATTCACTCTCACAAATCAGGCTCTCTTTGGACCAGGAGGCTTTCTTTCCAGTCTCAACAATATGTGGCTAGCTTGCCAAAGGGTGAAGAGGATTGTGACCAAGCTCATGAGCTACACACTGGTCACACATGACTCTAACTCTGACTCAGTTATTGAGCCTGATAATGTTCTGGGCACTCTCTTAGGCACTTTCACATATAATGTTTCATTCATTTCCACAAAAATCCTATGACTTTTCTTCTTATAGGTTATAGGTTACAGACTGAAAATCAGAAAGTTTTCTCCAATTGGCTAAGTCCCATGGATATACATGTTGACAATTTTCAAAGAGTCATTGATCAGCTCATGGCCAAATGGCTTTCTTGACCTAGGTGCAGCCAAATGCTGACATTCCCCACACAAGAGGCAGGGTACAAAGACTTTGTCTCCAACTTCCCCAAGCAGCAGAGAGCAAGAGTTTGGCAAGCCTTCCCTTTCAGTTTCAGTTGTATCCTGAACTTGGAAAAGAA